TGAAAGCATTCCCACTTAGAACTGGAACCAGACAAGGTTGCCCACTATCTCCACTTCTATTCAACACAGTGCTGGAAGTCCTTGCTACAGCAATTAGACAAGAGAGCCGAATTAAGGGTGTCCAAATAGGGGCAGAAGAGATCAAACTCTCACTCTTTGCTTATGATATGATATTATATCTAGAAAACCCCAAGGATTCAACCAAGAGACTGCTGGAATTGATAAATGAATTCAGTAAAGTCTCAGGATACAAAATCAATACACACAAATCAGAGGCATTCATATACGCCAGTAACAGTCAAACTGAGAACCAAATCAAAGCCTCAGTACCCTTCACAATAGCAACAAAGAAAATAAAGTACCTAGGAATATATTTAACTAAAGAGGTAAAAGACTTCTACAGGGAGAACTATGAAACATTGAGGAAGGAAATAGCAGAAGATATAAACAGGTGGAAAACCATACCATGCCCGTGGGTTGGCAGAATCAACGTTGTTAAAATGTCTATGCTAGTCAAAGTGATCTACAGATTCAATGCAATCCCTATTAATATACCGACATCATTTTTCACAGATATAGAAAAAATAATTTTACACTTCATATGGAACCAGAGAAGACCTCGTATAGCAAAAACCATCCTAGGCAATAAAAACAAAATGGAAGGTATCAATTTACCAGACTTCAACCTATACTACAAGGCTATAGTAATGAAAACAGCTTGAAAACAGCTGGCACAAGAACAGGGATATTGACCAGTGGAACAGAACAGAGAACCCAGTTATAAAACCATCCTCATATAGCCATCTAATCTTTGACAAAGCAGACAGAAACATACACTGGGGAAAAGAATTCTTATTCAATAAATGGTGCTGGGAAAACCGGATAGCCACATGTAGAAGACTGAAACAGGATCCACACCTTTCACCTCTCACAAAAATCAACTCATGGTGGGTAACAGACTTAAAACTAAGGTGTGACACTATTAGAATTCTAGAAGAAAATGTTGGAAAAACTCTTATAGACATTGGCCTAGGCAAAGAATTTATGAA